CAAAAACGGACACAAGTGGCGCTGTGGGTTAAACCACAGAGCCTAGGACTTGCCGATCAGAAGGTTGGTGGTTCGAATCCCTGTGACGGGGTGAGCTCCCGTTGCTCGGTCCCTGCTCCTGCCAACCTAGCAGTTCAAAAGCACGTCAAAGTGCAAGTAGATAAATAGGTACCGCTCTGGCGGGAAGGTAAACGGCGTTTCCGTGTGCTGCTCTGGTTTGCCAGAAGCGGCTTAGTCATGCTGGCCACATGACCCGGAAGCTGTACGCCGGCTCCCTCGGCCAATAAAGCGAGATGAGTGCCGCAACCCCAGAGTCGGTCATGACTGGACCTAATGGTCAGAGGTCCCTTTACCTTTTTACCTATGCAAAGGCCACAGTTGGGTTGCCACTTCTGTAAACTGTTACAAGCAGGGGATAGGAGCCTTCTCTCTCTTCCCCTCTTCCCAGTTTTGCTAAGCAAACATTGCAGACAGTGGTAACCTTTATATGGAATTCCCTGACATGTTCCAGCCAGGCAAGGATACTAATGGTGCAAAACTGGGCAAAGGAGAGGGGTGTGGTCTGGGGAGAGGAGTTGTGGCCTCAGGAGAGTCCCAAGGGGCCAAATGGAGAGGTCGGGGGGGGGGTCACACTTGAACCCAGGCCTGAGGTACCCCACTGCTGACGTAAAGGAAGCCACAAGAGTTTCCTTGAGCACATGCCATGTCCCCTGCCCTCCTGCCCTTTCTCTCCTTGCGGAGTACCTTCAAGCAGCTCTCCCATGTCTCTCAGATTAGGAGGAAATAATCCGGTTAGAGCCCATGACTTGGATCCCTGCACCTCTCAGTTTGCAAATTAAGCACAGCTCTTTTTGAATTTAATGGCAAGAGAGCTGTGCATCTGTAGCGAATTGGGGTGTATGTGTGTGGATTTTTTTCTTCTCAAAATCACAGCTTTTGAAAAAAGAAGTCTGGCTGGTTTACTGTCATGTGTTATGTTTGGCTGTTAGCCTTTGAAAACATAGTCAATGAGATTCTCTCTTTTTTAAGGGGTGTGTGCGTGTGGAGAGAGTATGTCTGTGTGATCAGCCAAAGAGTTTTGGCCAACTTCCATCAGGGTAGGGCTTGGCCCAAATTTTACAAGTGCTTTTGGCTGATTGGGTGGTCTGGTCTGCAGTGGGGTTTGTGGCAGGCCTCTCCAGACGGATGTTAGTCTAAGGCTGCATTCTAACATCTGCAAAGTGTTTAAATGCTGTGAACGGAGTCACCTCCTTTTCCTTTCTGAGAGTGGTGTGGGTTTGGTTTGGCAGCACCAAGGCTGCTAGGACAACAGCAGCAGCAGGCAGGGAATTTTTTTCTGTCTCTGGCCTTGTAATGTATATCATAGAGAAAACTATTTGGGAGCGACAAATGCTCTGTCATCTCAGTTCAGTTGTATGTTGCATTTTCCATGGCAAAGGGGCTCATTACTTCAGAAAGGTTTGAGTTACAATTGACTAACAAATCACTAATTATAAGGTGTAATTCAATTCTGAATACAGTGATACCTCAGAAGTCAAACGGAATCCGCTCCGGAAGTCCGTTTGACTTCCAAAAAGTTTGGAAACCAAGGCACAGCTTCCGACTGTCTTCAGGAAGCCACACCAGACATTCGGGTTCCAAAGAACGTTTGCAAACTGGAACACTTAATTCTGGGTTTGCGGCGTTTGGGAGCCAAAACGTTCGAGTCACAAGGCGTTTGTCAACCAAGGTACAACTGTAGTCATATAAATAGCCCAATCAAAGCAAATGGGGATTTTACTTTTTATGCCACTGGCCATATAGCATATACCATATATAAAAATGGCTTGGGAGCCACTAATAGACTATCATCACAGTTCAGTTTTGTGCTGCTTTTCCATGGCAAGTTGCTCAAAGCAGCTCAAAGCCTCAGAAAAGTGTGCATAATAATTCACTGACATGTAAGGCATGACAAAATTTAAATAGGCGTCTGCATAGGAATACACTATATCAAAGCATTTTGTATTAATAAGTAGACAATAAAATTAAACAATCCACTATTATTAGTGGCCTTGCAGAGTGCCTGGGTGAAACTGCCTCAGCTCACGGGCAGAGGCCAAAGCACCTTGTTTTTTATTATTTATTATTATGGTCAAAGACCAGTTCAAGAAGCACAACTGAGACTGCTTTCACAAGAATGAAATAGACATTTGAAACAATATACAATAACAACATAGATTAAAATTAAAACCGTCGCATGAACACAAAAGGACCTAAGGTTAAACTAACATGCCCCTGGGACACCCAGGAGGCCAGCTACGGCAGTTTTCCTAGTGATCTATTTGTTCCAGGGGTTGTTCCACAAATCTGTGGGCAGAATCTGGCGACCATCCGGGTCATCTTGTGGTTTTTACCTAAGAGGAGAAAATTTAGGCTTGTCTGGGAGGTCAGCAAGCCTCACCAGATGGGGGTCGATGGTATCTCTACGCGCCTCATCGTAAAAAAGGACATCTAAAAAATAAGTGTTCAGGGCTTCCTATTTCACCTAATGGGCAGACGCTACATTGCGGTATATCACCAAACCGCGATGTTTGGCTGATGATACACCGCAGTGTTGAAAAGCTGATATCACCCCACCCTAGCCTCCAGCCTTCTTCCACTCATGTGCCCCTGTTTGCTTCTTTCTTCAGGTCCTGTCCGGACCCCATTATTACTCATGGGGCGACCATGGAGGGATCCTCATGGCGGTAACACAGGGCACAGAGACAAACCAGCTCAAGTAAGTTCCATGGGCAAATGGGCTGCTGAATCTGAGCTAACAGAAAGCAGTAGAATAGCCGATAATTAGCTCTCCACTTGATTTCCTTTAGGCCACATAGGGAAGGATTGTTGTGATTTGTTATACTGAAGCTTTACCAATGGAGAGCTTGAAGAATTGAGAAGTGATGTGATTCCTCTCCCCCCATTCCACCCGACACTGAGGTTTTAGAGGTGGCGGTGGTGAGCTAGAGAATCTGGAATTTTACTACAGTTTGTACAGAAAAACATTTGCAGCAGATTGCTCTCAAGAACAAACAAGCCATCTAAATTGCTGTTCAGATTTGCATCACAATGCCTGCAGCTATTGCTGCTTTTCTTGTAGCTATGAACGACGGGCTGCCTTCAATGCTAGTTCTACTTAAGAGTTAGACCCATTGCAGTCAATGGACTCAAAGGACTTGTGTCTCTTGATTTCTGCGGGTCTGCTCTAAGTAGGGCTAGCACTGGAGGCAACCTAGCATCACAAAGCGCCTAAAATTTTCTAGGTTATCTACATACGTTAAAAGTGGGAAACTGACACTTCTTATGCTGTGCTTCAGGAAGAAATTGAAGACCAAAACAGAAGTTCTGTATTTGGGCCTCTTTAACCTCTTTTTAAAAAAACTGAAAGCAGCTGGTCCGAGCTCTGATTTTGATTGTAACAAGGGTACTTGGGCAGGGGCGCAAAAGGATATATGTGAGGCAGGGCCTTTTCAGTGGTGGCACTGAGACTGGAATGCCATCTCTGCGGAGATCCACCCCTGGGCTTCTTCTTTTAGCCTTTGGGCAGGAACAGGTTGTCCCTGTTGAGCATGTGCTCAAGAGATCAACAGGTCCTGATCAGTGTTTCCCAAACTTGTTTTTGGACTACAACTCCCATCACCCCTAGTTAGCAAGTCAGGGATGATAGGAATTGTAGTCCGGAAGCAGCTGGAGGCCTAAGTTTGGGAAACACTGGTCTAGATTTTACTTTGTATTGATTAAGGGAGTAGAGCAGAAGTGAACACTGAACAGCCTTGACCTGCCATTCTCTCTGTGTAGGTACAGCACAAACGAAGGGGAGACCTGGAAGGTGTTCACCTTTTCAGAGAAGCCGGTCTTTGTTTACGGCCTCCTGACGGAGCCTGGGGAGAAAAGCACCATCTTCACCATCTTTGGCTCTTACAAGGAGAATAGGCACAGCTGGCTCATCCTGCAGATCAACACCACGGATGTGCTTGGTGAGTGAGGGAGTTGCTGTTTGGTATCCCTCAAAGTTCTGCAGAGGGGGTCTGAGTATTGCACATTTTAAGTGTCGTAGAATTATCCTGTAGAAGTACAGTTGTACCTTGGATCCTGAATGCCTCGGTACTCGGACGTTATGGCTCCCAAGTGCCGCAAACTGGAAGTGACTGTTCCGGTTTTCAAATGTTCTTTGGAACCCGAACATCCGATGAGCCTTCCGTGGCTTCTGATTGGCTTCCAATTGGCTGCAGGAGCTTCCTGCAGCCAATCAGAAGCCGTGCTTTGGCTTCCGAATGTTTTGGAAGTCGAACGGACTTCCGGAATGGATTCCGTTCGACTTCCAAGGTATGACTGTATTCTGGATATTGCATTTTGGCACTGAGACATCTCTGTTATGTATCCTCCCTCATAGAATTATAACTCCCATGGTTCCTTGGTAAGAGGAAAGGACTGTTTGAGTTGTTGTTGTTGTTGTTGTTGTTGTTGTTGTTGTTGTTATACTGCCCTATACCCTCAGGTCTCGGGGTGGTTCACAACATAAAATCACAATATAAAAACACAAAATACATAATAAAAACAAGAAGAACCCAATAACCACCCGCAATAAACACATTTTTAAAAGGTGTTGGATGTCAGTCAGCCGAAAGCCTGGTTAATTTAATTTAATCTTTACTGGATATTCATATATTTAGGAGACTCATTTAGGAAGTACACCTTCCTTCCTTCGGAAGTCTTTTGTTTAGACAGGACTCTATTATTTTTCTTTCAGTCAGTATTCATTTGATGTTTTTTACGAATCTTTTGTTGATTTTTGTCATTATATATTAGACTTGGCCTTGCTCTGTTTTTTAATGAAAGCACAGATTATAAATTTGCCAGTACATAAAATTATAAACTGCCTTATTGAGGGGTAGCCAAAATGGTGCCCTTCAGAGGCTGCTGGACTACAAATCCCAGCATGCCTAACCACTGGCCATGCTCACTGAGGGTGATCCTCAGGTGGCACAATTGGTCAGTGCAGCTGGCTGTTAACCAGAAAGTTCATGGTTTGAGCCCACCCAGGGACAGCTGTAGGTAGGATTTCTGTATTGCAGCGGGTTGGACTAGATGACCCTTGGGTTCCAACTCTATGATTCTATGTGACAAGTTCAATCCCTGGCATCACCAGGTTGGACTGGGAGAGAACCCTGTCTCAAATCCTTCAGAGAGCTGCTGCCAATCAATGTAGACAGTACTGAACTAGATGGACCAATCGTATAAGGCAGCTTCATATGTGGTGGCATAGATTTGTGGGGAGTGGGAGGCAGGGAAATTTCCAGTCCCGAAATCCTGCTTTTATGGGTATTTAAAATACTGGCGGGATGCGGGTGGCGCTGTGGGTTAAACCACAGAGCCTAGGGCTTGCCGATCAGAAGGCCGCAATGGGATGAGCTCCCGTTGCTCGGTCCCTGCTCCTGCCAACCTAGCAGTTCGAAAGCACCTCAAAGTGCAAGTAGATAAATAGGTACCGCTCTGGCGGGAAGGTAAACGGCGTTTCTGTGCGCTGCTCTGGTTCGTCAGAAGTGGCTTAGTCATGCTGGCCACATGACCCAGAAACTGTACGCCGGCTCCCTCGGCCAATAAAGCGAGATGAGCTCCACAACCCCAGAGTCAGTCACGAATGGACCTAATGGTCAGGGGTCTCTTTACCTTTAAAATACTGGCATGCAATCACATCTGGAAACAGGAGAAGCAGTTAAACATGGCAGAAGAACGAGCTTGACTAAAATGTAGAACTGATGCCTTCTAAAACTGTAAGTGTTCTAAGTGGAGCTTCTTGGCAGCCCACATGGGTTTGAAATATAAATAAGATACGTGACTCACTCCAAGGAATGTTCTGCGGAATAGGTTTGTTGCTGTCTGTCGCGGTCCGTACGGGGGAGAAATTTGATTCAGCTCGCATTTAAGGTTGGACCTATCTAATTCACACCTTGTGAAACATCACATCAGCAGAAACACAACCATCCTGAGAAATCTTTTGCGTTTCCTAATTTTGCAATGTAGTTCTCCAGCCAAGCGATGTGTACAAAAAATGCATAAACTAGGGCAAAAAGTGTGCATAAAAATGCAAAGGTTGGTAAAAAAATAAAAATTGCATTGGGGAAAATTATGTACAAAAATGAGCAAATAGTCAAACCCACATTAAAAATGCTTGTTAAGAGAAATTTGTGTTTAAATCTTGCAGCCCGCCCCCCCTTGAAAGCAAATATATTGAGTCCATGACATGGTGAACCCATTTTACGTTTAGACGCACAAACCCTTTGCTACCCTCCACCCCCCATCTAATGTTGCTTGTTCATTGCATAGGGGTGCCTTGCACGGAAAACGATTACAAACTGTGGTCCCCCTCTGACGAAAGAGGCAATGAGTGTCTCTTGGGACACAAGACGGTCTTCAAAAGGCGAACTCCCCATGCGACTTGCTTCAACGGGGAAGACTTTGATCGCCCGGTCATGGTCTCCAACTGTTCTTGCACCAGAGAGGACTATGAATGGTGAGTTCATTAAGTTCCCTGTGGACTGCAGCTCAGATTACCGTATTTTTCCATGTATAACACGTCACCACGTATAAGACGCCCCCTATTTTGAGGGACTCAAATTTAAGAAAATGGGGGGAGATGGCACAGAGTTGTTGAGCTCTTTTGGTGGGGGGGATTGCTGAAAATCTGCCTCTCGCCTGTCCCCTCGCTGACAGGAACTGCCAATTGCCCGCCCAATTGTTGCGGCATCAGCCAGTCAACACCAGCCATTGACGCAGCAACCAATAACACTCCCAATAGCCGCTGACAGCAACCAATCAAACGTCCACCCTATGCACTATCCATGTATAAGACGACCCCCACTTTTTAGAATAATTTTTAAAGAAATGCACGGAAAAGTATGGTAAATGTCAGCAATGAAGGGCACTTAATGGCTGTTTCTGTTTTGGGGTGGGATTCAATCGCATAGGGTGTACATTTAAAGTTGATTTGAAGCTCTTCCAAATCTTCTCCCCCCCCCCCCACCCACTGCCAAAAATAAAATACAAAATCAGACATTTTGCTGTATGGAAATCGACAGGGAAATGCACTGCAGAGCATTGGATAACACTTGCTTGGCACAGCCTCACCAGTGGTGTAATGATCTGGGGTTGTAGGATCCTTATTATTCCTGCTGAAGGGTCCCTATCTTCAGCCTCCTAGAGCCACCCAATCAGCATGAAAGGGGGGCTTTTCAGCCGTCTTAAGCTCCAAGGCTAAACATTTAGGAACACTGAAAATACTGAGCCATTTCAAAAGAATGGCGTGCAAGTTCTGTTGCATACGCTGGAACTTCAAGGAAAACTCGAACGTAAATCACGCTGAACGATTAGCCCATGTTATGTGCACTGAAAATAGTAGGTATAGCTGAAAGGCAACACATGGAGATCTGTGCAGTTTCTTACAGTGCCCCCAAATTATTATTATTGTATAATTGTCAAATTATTGTATAATCTTGGAAGGGGGCTTGGCTGTGACTTATCGCGAAGGGAGCACCGTATAATCTGCCCACAAACAAACCAGAATGAATGCTCACTGAACAGACCCAGCTTATTTGAGCGCTGGGTATCTTTTGGCTTGACTGGCTAATCTAAATAGGAAAGCGCAGTGGGGAGTATCCTTTTCCCCCCACCACCACGAATGAGGTTTTAGCTGAGATGGTTGGAGCATCCAGAAATAGAGACGAGCAATTATTATTGCCTTGTCACTTTTTCCTTCAAATGAAGGCAGCTTCCCGAGGGAATGTTGGCTGCAGTTCGTTGTGTAATTATGAGCGCATAACTCCCACTGATCAGTTGGCCTTGAGCACTCAAACTGAACAAGGGATTATTAATACCTTAGCATTTATATAGCATTTTGGCATGTGTAGAGGGGTTTGCATACATTGTCATGTTGTCATCCTTGGTACATACTCTGTGAGGTAGATTAGTATTATCCTGCCCATATTACAGATAAGAAGGCCTTGCGAGGAATTGGCTTGACTAATGGTCACCTGGTAAATTAAGGGGAGAACTCACTAGGCTGTGAGTATTTAAATATTTGTCAACACAGGAGAATGACAACCTCAGATATCGGGAATTTAGGTCTGTGGGTGAGGGGCTAAAAGAAAATGGAATTCTGGTTGCTGGATTTTGAGGTATTGACACTTTGTCAGAAACTACTGATGGATTGCTGTGAAGTGTCCCTTAATATGATATTTAAAACAGCTTTTAAAAACCAACCAACACAACTTTCCTCAAAAGTACAAGGTGACTTTCTATCCAATAAAACAAAAGTCAAGGTGATCTAGATTTCAGTGTGCATGTGTTGGTTTTTGGAGAGGAATTTATTATATCCAATGAATTATTCAATATAATTCTAGGCAGACTTAACCACAGGATGAAAGTAAAAATTCTGGAATTCATTAACACAGCTGCCAGTTACCTTGGATAAATGTTGACAGTGGTTTGGGCCTCAGTGGACCCATATTGCAGAAAGCACGTAGCTCTTGGGTAGCGTACAACCATTTTGATATTTGAAGAACTTCACTGGAAGAAGAAAACCCCTTGAGGTGAATGGAGCTTGTGGAAATAACTATTACTGTAACTTGGAGGTGAACTGCTTTGGCATTCCCCGGGGCCATTTTGTTTCCCTGGTAGTGGCCTGTGGACCAGATGTGTATTTTGCCACACAAGCCAATCCTCCCATGGCCAACCTCTATAATAAATTTCTTGTTGCTGAACTGTTAGGGATTGCCTGTTCTAGAGCACGTGTACAGAGGTAAGCTGGTGGGAAGAGCGTTGGACCAAGCTTGACAAGACTTGGGTTGATGTTCTCCTTCAGCAATGAAGTTCTCTGGGTAATATTGGGCCAGAACGTTATCCCTCCTACCCCATGGACCAACTTTACTGGTGGGTTGGATCACCCACTGTCAGTCTTCTGATGTCATATTGAAAACCAGGTGATTAGCAGGTGGGTGGTCCAGCTGTCAAAATTGGCCCACCAGGAGATGAAGATGCTGCACAAAGCAGGATTGAGCTCCATGTGCACCACCAGATGGGGTTCAGTTCTGCTTTGTGTAGGGTTTCAGTTTTGCTGGCTAGTTCTCAAAGAGAACTACTTGGTGTACCTGAACTGAGATGGTTTTAAGTCCCCACGCGTCAGCTGAACAGGCTAGAATGGGCCAGATGAGAAGAGCTGGTGAGCCAGGTGTGGATTCCCCATCCCTGGCCTAATTTACTTTACACAGTCCTTGTGAGCTCTCTCTCTCTGTATGTACATTGGATTACGGACTTTCTTGCAGGTGTAATTGCGGGTTAATTCATTTTTTACTGCACTCTGATTAAAATGCAGTGGAGCTAGCATCAGAAAGAAAGAAAGTCCATCATGGAGAAGCAAATGAAATTAATTTTTGGCAAGGGCAGGTGGGAGGGGGCGTAAAGATAAATTCTTTCAGCATCTGGCTCTCGGGCTGTGTAGCTGCCAGCTGGCAAGGCCTCGTGGGATGCATTAACATGTTCACAGGTCCTCCAGTGAAAAAGGACATACTGTGAGATATTTGAATTCTGCTAATAAGAGCCTTCGTTTAAATAGCTGCATTTCCAGAACATTTGGTGCTTTAGCTTTTTTTCTAATTGTAAAAAAGTAGTTATATAAATACATATGTATATAAACCTACACTTGAAGGGCACATTTCCTTCTCCTCTCCTCCCCTTGCCCCTCGCCTCTGCTTTTTCCTGGCTCAGTGACTTTGGCTTCAAGCTGAGCGAAGACTTGTCATTAGAAGTTTGTGTACCAGACCCCGAATTTGCCGGCAAACCATCTTCTCCCCCTGTGCCGTGTCCCATTGGTTCAACTTACAAGAAGACCAGAGGGTAGGTGACTGCCCTGGTGGCATGCATTTATCTATTATTGTTATTATTATTATTATTAATTTATTTATTATTATTATTAACATTATATACTGCTCTCCCTCAAAAGGCCACAGGAGGGCCACAGTTCGCCTACCTCACTGTAAGCAGGATAGTTGGT